TATATATATATATATGTGTGTGTGTGTGTGTTGTGTTCAAATTTCATATATATGTTTAAATTTCAAATTTCAAAATTTACATGTTATGTGGCAAATTGCACATATACATATAATATACATACAAACTTTCCAAGTTTCTCTGGCTACCACGCTTGTGTATGTAGTTAAGAGTCCATCTCAACTATTACCAGCACATACTATGGCATCAGATACGAATATAGCTTATCGTGCTTGAATTCCATTCCTACGTCGTCGTCTACTGTGGATAGTGTGTTTGAACTGATATACCTATACCGGCCTTTACTATGAATTGTGTGTGTATACCGATCCTTATAGCACTCGTGGCGAGTTACATACGACTGGAGTGTGTTTGCACGTGCCACACTCTGTTATATCCGCGCCGTTTGGGACAGTATGCTGACTAATTAGATTGTGCTATACCTCTGATATGATGATCATCAATGTGTTAACCCCTGAAAGTCCAAACCCCTAAAACCCTCGTTTTCAGTATACGATACGTGTGCGTACTGTTCACCCCGAACAAAGGTGGCATGGGCAGTAGATGATTTTGAAGTTGAGGATGATTGGGGAAGTGTATTACTGTTCTTGTTGTGTAGCTGGTGATATTCATATGAATGTGTGTGTGTGTGTGTGTGTGTGTCAGGGTTGCAATAACCTTGTATTGTGTCTTCAACCGGTACTATTGATGTATGATTTAACATCTTACGTTCATGTGTTTTATATATATGTGTGTGTATATTCAGCGGCGTACTGTTATTGTTTATATATATGTATATATATATATATATATATATATATTGTGTATATTACCGGTGCCAGGAACTATCCGAGCATACCTCCGTGTACCCGTACCTCTAGTCGGGTTACTTTCACATCTACACCTGTATCTCTCTCTAACTCACCTCCACTCCCCTCACAGCTACTACAACATGCGATACAACATCACCCGCGAAGCACTTCTGAAGGACTACAGTTTCTTCGATCCGCTTACCAGCGATACGATGATCAAGATGCATGGGCTTAAAGGGGAGGCCTTGCTGGCTAAGGAGGACATTGTCCTGGACCGACTCAACATCATCCTCGAGAAAGCCAACTTCAAGATGCTCACGGCACACGAGGCATGTGTCTGTGTGTCGTATATTTTTGTGTTTGTTGTTTGTATTATTTGTCTTGTTTGTTTTGATGTGTCTGGGTCATATAACCTTATTTGTCTTATTTATAATGTGTTTTTGTCGTGTTTGTCTTGTTTATATTGTCTTATTTATTTTTTTGCCTTATTTGTCTTATTTGTACTGTTTGTCTAGTTTATATGTTTTTGCCTTATTTGTCTTATTTGTATTGTCTTATTTGTCTTATTTATATCATCTGATTTGTCTTGTTTGTCGTTTCCGTCGTATTTGTATTATTTATACGTCGCATGCACACAGGATGTCTACTGTGGTAGTAGTGTGGGGCCAGTAGGCCCATGCGTAGGTAGTATGGTGGATGGATTCTGTTAGTGTGCTCCAGATAGATTAACTTCACGGTGCTTGTGACCGTGCAAAAGTACCGAAATTTCCTTGCCTAATAACGGGCCTTTCGGGAACGGCATGCATCTTAGTGCCTCGGGAAGTAAGCTGAGCTTTATGATACTAGTTGTCATGTTGTGGCGGCTTTGTGACGCATTGTATACGTTTGTGTGTGCGAGGGCTGGTCTTTTTGATACAAGTACAAATGTTTGATGTGTGTGTGTTGATATGAGAACAATGTTATGCTGTAGTTTGTCGTGGCCCACTCCCCCGTTCACTTATCAAAGCTCACTTGATATCCTTCACAATCCACACACACACACGCCTTGGCAGGTTGATCTGGCCAGCATATAGGGTTTAGCCTAAACCCAAACCCTAAAACCCAAAACCTCAGCCAACTACAAGCACTCAAATTTGACAACGTATTCAAATGCCCTCAGAATTTCAGTAGTTCCCCCTCCCCCACTCACATATCAAACCTCATTATCTTATGCAATCCACACACACGTCTGGACAGGATGATCTGGCCACCTCAGCCAACTCCAAACAATCAAGTTTAACAACGCATTTAAATGCCCTCAGAATTTCAGCAATTCCCCCCTCTCCCATTCACAAATCTGGCCACCTCTGCCAACTACAAACTATTGAGTTTTACAACGCATTTAAATGCCCTCAGAATTTCAGCAATTCCCCCCTCTCCCACTCACATATCAAACCTCGATATCTTATGCAATCCATACACATGTCTGGACAGGTTGATCTGGCCACCTCAGCCAACTACAAGCTCAAGTCAGACGTCCAGGTGGATGAAGCGGGTTACGATCCCAAGATACTGGAACGCTTCTTCCGAAGACATCGCACGGAGTTTGTATACAGAGCCGATGAGACTGACTTCTTCCTGGTGGTATGTGCACTCGCCTGAGACATTGTCAGGAGGCAAAGTGGTTGTGTGGGGAAAGCTTTATTCAACTCACTTGTCGTAGGTATCTGCCTTCTGATTGGTGTGATAGTTTGTGAGAGAGAGATAGTGTGTGTGTGTGTGTGTGTGTGTGCGTGTGTGTATTGTATCGACAGTTTTGTGGTGGGCCCTGATCTGAGACAACGTTAAGATCCATAGGGGTTGTGCGTAGTTGACCTAAACCCTAAACCTCTACACCCTAAACCCTAAGCAATGGCCAACATGCCCGTCGTGGGTATCCGTTGACTGTATATGCATCCGTGCACCTGCACAAGTGATGCGGACACACGGCATGACTCTAGGGTTTAGGGTCTGGGGTCTATTTTTAGCTCCCTGTTCTCATTGGTTGATTGATAAATAGTCCACTCTACTCACCGTTGCGCGGGCCCATCTCACCGGTGCAGTACTACCGCGGCGTGGGCATTGCACAGCAGACAGACCTGTTCGTCGTTGAGAAGCTAGAGCTCATCCTGGATCGCATCAAGTTCCGCATCAAAGAGTTTGTGATTGGGCTCATCTACAAAGACAAGAAGAAGGCGCAGGTAGGGTATCAGCCGGTTGGGTTTGTGAGTGCGTATGTATGTGAAGTGTGTGTGTGTGTGTGTGTGTCTGAGTGTGTAGTGTGTAGTGTGTGTGCGTGTGTGTATGTGTGTGTGTCTGAGTGTGTAGTGTGTAGTGTGTGCGTGTGTGTGTGTGTGTTTTATGTTTTTATGTTTGATGTTTAGAAGTACCTGGATAGGATTTCGGTGCGCATGTATATAACACGATTCGATCTTACCTACGTCACGCCTACCTTAGACTATACCGCGTTTCTGCTTGTTAACACTGTGGATGTTGAAACAACCACACGAGGAACAAGGTCTTACATCCTCCACACCTACCAGTCTGCGACTGTAGTAGTATGTCTCCATAAAGCTAGCCGGTCTATTGACTGACTATAGCAACATACATACATATAATCATACATGCATACAATCATTCAATCATACATACATATGTACATACATACATACATACAATCATACATACATACATACATACATACATACATACATACATACATACATACATACATGCATGCATACATACATACATACATACAATCATACATACAATCATACATACACACATACATACATACAAACATACATTCATACATACTACATACATACACATATGCATACAGTCTCCGTAGTGCTATCTGGCCTGTTGACCCGGTGTTGTATACCACCCACGTGCGCAGGACAAACTCGACGGCCTAGCCGTGTCTACGGTGAAGCACTCGTTTGAAGAACGCAGGGCCCACGGCGTCAAAGTATTGGCTGGCTTTATCATCTTCATTGGCATTGTGCACGAGTTCTTGAACCGGTACGAGTTCGGGTTCATGGAGATAGGGATCATGATACTGGTGGATGTGATTGTGGGTATGTCCATTGGTATCAAGTACTTTGTGCCGACGGAGAAGGAGAAGTTTGCCGCGTCGCCCAGAGCCCAGCTCATTCAGAAGAGAAAGGTGAGTGCGTGCTTTTTTGGTTTGTTTTGTTTTGTGGGAAGGGGAGGTTAAAAGCATTTTGAAGACGTTGTGTGGGCATACGCGCATTTATATACTATGTGTAAGTATATATATATATCACGTGTTGGTAGCTTTTGGGGGTTTTCATATCCTGGATACGACTGAGTTTCGTCCCGACGAGTAGCGTAAAGTAGGTCCAAATATACATTAAATCAGGGCGCTGACCACTAATTCCTTATTGGACTCGTTGTTGGCCCTAGGTGTATATGTACATGTCACGTGTTTGTTCCTTCTAGCGTTTTTGCACCCAGTTCCCTAAACAAGTGTTCTCCGGCACGTATAGTCGGTCCACAAGTGCACTAAACGACAGTACATTACTAACACTGACATCTCAACCGACTTGTTTGTGTTTCTCTGTCTGTGTCTGTGTATATGTGTGTCTGTGTCTGTGTCTGTGTCTGTGTCTGTCTGTGTGTGTATGTGTCTCTGTGTCTGTGTATGTGTCTATGTATGTGTCTCTGTGTCTGTGTGTGTATGTGTCTCTGTGTCTGTGTATGTGTCTATGTATGTGTGTCTGTGTCTGTCTGTGTCTGTCTGTGTCTGTAGGAGTGGAGAGAGGCGAACCCCAGACCACCGCCCGCCGAGGGAGAGATTATGAACAAGATTGAGCGACTGCGATTGGACCAGTTGAGTCTGGTCCCTGGTGATTTGCTGCTCCCAAACACTATTCAGGTGGGTGCATAGTATGAATGTATATGCACCTGTTTCTACAATGAATGGATATATGCACCTGTTTTTCAAATTAGTGGATATATGCACCTGTTTCTCGAATGAATGTATGTGCACCTGTTTCTCCAATAAATGGATATATGCACCTGTTTCTCAAATTAATGGATATATGCACCTGTTTTTTCAAATTGATAGATATACGCACCTGTTTTTCAAATTAATGGATATATGCATCTGTTTTTCGAATGAATGATTACGCACTTGTTTCTCCTGTGTTGCCATCAAGTGGTCGCATTCGATTACTGGGTTCGCCTGGCTTCGACCAGTATATCCCATGCTATCGTCCATGGCTCTCCTCGAAATAGTATATATATGTGTGTGTGTGTGTGTGTGTGTGTGTGTGTATGTGTGTGAACAGACAAACAGTTGAACAACACATTATGCATACATACACTACAAGTGCAATAGCCTATGAACATCCACAGGTTGCATGTATACTTGTGAGACGTCCTATCTAGTTTGCGGTGCGCGGTTGGTCTGTTATACCAATGTATAGTACGACTTCTCACCTATAGGTAAGCGTTAGCACTTTTGTACCTGGTTAACAAGAAACAAGCAAGTCCCATGTGTCTGTAGGGCTAGCGCTGATCATGGCCTGGTCAGTCATGTACAGTCGCCCGGGATGGTCTCAGTAGGTGTCCGCTGTGTTCATTTCAGCGTGACGTGTAGCTCCCTCACTCGCTTCCGCAAATATCTCCGCACTGAAATTCTAAACCCTAAACTCTAAACAACTCAGACCACAGAACCTAAACCCCTAAACCCTAAACAACTCAGAACCCTAAACCCTAAACTCTAAACAAACCCTAAACCCACACTCGTAGGAACCGACCTTCTCGGAGATGATTGTGATTCACCGCGAGAAGGGGAGCAAGCACATCAAGATTTCAGAGTACCAGGACATTCCTATGGCTGATCTAGAGCTGATCTATCCGCTCAAGAAGCTTCTGCTGAACTCCACTGACCTCGTGTTTGCTGTGGTGACGCTAATCATGGGCATCTCAGCGCTCATCAGCGGCCTTACGGTGGGTGGGTGGGTGTTGTCAGTGGCAGTGATCCTACTGTGTATTGCTTAGACCATTGGGTGACTGTGTGGGTGGGTGTGTAGGTGCACGATTATACAACATATTTATATGGCAGATCATACTTCATACTACAGATTGATATTGCGTAGTGTTATATTGAGGTTAATATTGCTATGGTGTGGACATCTGTTGGGGGGACCTGTGTGACAGTTCTCCTGACACATAACTTAGTTATTCGATTATGCTGATTGTATATATATGTACGTATGTATGTATGTATGTTTGTACGTATGTATGTATGTTTG